TGCTCTTCTCCGAGTGTTACGCCGCCTCTCGATGCAGCATCAACAGCAGTTTGAGAAGATGCGGCTGGCTAGCGTCATGTGTCTCCGAGGAAATGTGTGTCAGCCTTCAACCCTGCCAGTGGGTAGCTTTTGTATGACAAGAGAGACCTGACTGGTGCGTTGGAATTGGCCAAGAGAAGACAAGTGAGGAGAAAATCATGGGAATGAATGAATGAATGAATGAATGAATAAATAAATAAATAAAAAGCTTAAAGCAAATGTGCCAAGCAGTGCAAAATTTCCCCATTTATGCCAGAAACCTTTACTTTACAGATGCACGAAGAGGGAAGAGTGTTTTCGTTTAGGGCCTGGGGGAGGAATGCGCTCCGATGTATTCGTTCGCTTATCTCTCTTCGAAAATGTGCCAGTATCACGAAACCCAATCACCAACAGAACTTGCACAGAGACAGCACAGGATCTCTTTCTTGACCGAATCAGTGCTGGCTCTAAAGCGTAAACATCCGCGTAAAAACATCCGTTCCCTCCTACACGCAGCATGTGCTCGCGCTTCCAGTAACAGTCCTGCCATTTACACCGCCTCGGCTTCCGCCTCCATCTGCACGGTCCAGCGCATTCTCCTTTTATTTCCAAACAAGCGGTCTTATTTGCATTAAAATGGATTTGATTTGGCTTGCTCCCATTATTTTATACGTCTTTAATGCCATTAATAAGAAATGAAAAGTTTTTAAAAATTACTTTTGCATGTGTAATTGAAATAAGCATGTGATTTAAAACTGACAGAGTAATCCGGATGTTTAAATGCAGTAACTCCTTTAAAAATTAAAGATTCAAAGCTGAGGTTTGCACGAGCTACTCTGCTTGTGTGTAATGTCTCTCACACACACACACACACACACTCACTCACTCACAGGAACACGTGTAGGTTACGAACGTCTTTCCGAAATTACAGGATTTTCATGAAGAGCACACTTCCAGCGAACATCTTATGAGTAACTCAGTCTGTATGCAGCTTGATACATGAGCCTCATTGTGTCCTACAGACTGAAGTCATGTGGAGAAACTCACATCCTCGATCTTGCACATGCGCGTCCACGTGAAGACCTGCTCCGGCGGCGGATACACGGTGTGCTTCCGCCTCTCATCATCCACGAAGTTCATTAACTGAGGAGGAAAATTGACACAAACACATGATTAAAGAAGAAGAAGAAGAAACTGAGCTGAGAAAAAGAAACGCCTGATTACCGATGTGAAGTAGTGCTTGTTGAACTCGGAGCCCAGCGCTCTCCCCCAGCTCTCCCCGACTCCCACAGGCCCGCGGCGGGAGGACAGGCGCTCCAGAGCCGCCGCCTTGTTCCTGGCGATCCGCTCGAGCTGATCCGGACTCAGCGCCACGTCACTCCCAGCTTTCAGCTTCTTCACCTGGGACGAAATCTTTGTGTATTTGCTGCAATTCCACCATCGTTTCGATAAAACCCTTGTGCATGGCGTGTGGAGGAAGCGCTGCCGAATGTTTATAAACAGCGCCGCCATGGCGGGAGCGCGCAGCCTTCAGCGCCATGTTACTGCAGCGCGTGTAAACACACACACACACTAACACGTGGACGCAGGCACGTGCACGGATGAACCGGAAGTTATAACCGACAGCTTCGACAAAAGTAGTTACATACGTTTTTTTTTTGTCGTTTATTGTCAACAAAACATGACTAGCTTTTTAGGTTTCAGTGCTATTTTTTTTAATAATGCAAAGAGGAACACGATGAGGATATCATGGATTTATACATACAGATAACAGTGTAGATAATATATAAAAAAAATCAACGCCAGGGGAGGCTCCAAATACAGACTAAATAAATAAATTAATTAAATAGATAGATAAGTAAATAAATAAAACCTAAGCACATAATATAATAAAAATGCAAGATTTTATCTACAAAAAAACCCATCTTTCTTGTTGTATGTGGTGGTTAAAGTTTTTTTTTTCAAAATGACGAGTTTTTTTTTATTATAATTTATCGCTGTACAATTAAGTATATAATACATTACCAGTAAGATAATTAAATTATAAATATCCAGTGCTGTCTTTTATGAACGTGCGGGTTTGTTTATGTGTGACGTAGCATCTACTTCCGGGTCAGCTTTCGCGGGAAAATTTCAGCGCTTCTTTTTAAATGAATGAACAATGTGGGGAAACACGGTTTGACAAACGGTTAAAATACTTTTAATGCCTGTATTAAAGCAGCGTGTTGAACACATGAAAGCTGTAATTCACTCACAAGTTTCGCCGAACTGTAGCCATAAACTACATCAGTGTGTTTACTCACATCACACACGTCCTCGCTTCCGGTCAGTGTGTCCAGGTCTCTCTTTTTACAGGTGGGTGAGAAAAATGACTTGATGCTTTTCTGTCCGATCATTTTTCACGATAAATTAAGCTCAACTAGTGTGAGAATGTGTGTGTGTCAGCAATGCGCCTCGAACCTCTGGTGTTGCTTGGTTTCTCACCTCGCGCCAAAAAAGTGTGACAGCCAATGGAAGAGCAGCATTACTAATACGTCACTTTATACGCAATAAAATTAATTAAATAAAATACAAATAAAGAAAGGAAGGAAGGAAAGAAGAAAGAAAGAAAGAAAGAAAGACAGAATAAAAGTGAGGCATTGTTAGAATAGGGGCAGTGGATGTGTTTCTAACAAATAATGTTTGGAAATAATTATTTAAAATCGTATATTATCATATATACACTTAATGTCCACTTTATTAGTTCCTCTTTCTTTTGTAAGCTTCATTCATCAGCCATTTTATCTGTCCTCTTTCCAGTGAGGGCTGGTCATGATATGAAATGAAGAGCTAAAATCTAATTTCTATCAGTAATTCGACAGTGAAACTATCAACTATTACACACACACATACACACACACACACATACATACTGTACATACACACTTAAAGACAATGCTTTACTGGGTTCATGCCTCTGAACACCAAACATCAGAAAAGCTGTAACACTTTCATTCAGTTATCACATGGAAATCATCGCTGCTGCTGAGGATAGTCCCACATGGATAGCCTACATGAGATACATGAGATTACTGAGGACGGTACCCCTTAGAAACCATGAAGATGGCTTTGGACTCAACTGCTATGAAAGCTTTAGGACTGCAATTCCCATGAACAGTTTTACAGTAAAGTCTCCATCAGTGAACAGTTGATAATTTCAACCAACTAGACCTCATGTGAAAGCTATAACGAATTTTCCTGGTTGCATAATTGCACTCTATAGTACACAGTTATAGAAGGGAAATTATTAATAATCGCACTATCCGGCGTCACCCAGATGAGGATGGGTTCCCTTTTGAGTCCGGTTCCTCTCAAGGTTTCTTCCTCATGTCGTCTCAGGGAGTTTTTCCTCACCACTGTTGCTCATTAGGGAGAAATTTATACATAAAAAATGTATATCCGGAATTTATATTTCGGAAATATATATATATTCGGTGCTTAGTCAATCTACTTTTAGTTTCTCCTCCAGAAGCATTTTGTGCAAAAAAAGGCTGACAGAGTGAATAATCCGCTTTGTTCGTTTTCATTACACCCAAGACTGTATTTCACACGCTCCTTCTCAGTCACTGTTGTTGACGTGAAGGGGGATGAAAGATATCAGCCCAAAGGAGATCAAATCTAAGGGGTGTTTCACTCTGTAAAATCACCTGATACGGCTGTCACTGACAGACTTTATAAGTCTACAGTCTGGGCTAGAAAAAAATCAGCCGCAGCCTTCACTTCTTAATACATTAAACGTGATTTGTTATGGATGCCAAAAATGAAACCTAATGTTGATGTTTTTTTTTTTATCTGTGAAATACAGGGAGCTTAGCAGGGATACAGACATGGTCGTGGTGTGTTAGTGAGTGTTGTGCTGGTGCAAGTGAGAGTAGGTATGAGATATGAGGTGTACGTAATAAACTGACAACTTGGCATCAATTATACCTAAATTGTGCTTTTCTAATCATTGCATGAACAGAGATCTTGATAGTTATAGAACCTAAACCATGGCATCATGAAACATTCCCTTCCATACAACATTTTGTGATCAGTTATTATTTAAACGTTTTCGGTGCTCCTTCCAGGGTGTGTTCACAGGGTGTGTTCACAGGGTGTGTAGGCTCCTAATCGGCTGCAACCTTATCAAGGATAAAGCGCTTACTGAAGATAAATACATTTCTGTTGCAAAGTCAGTTAAAGGTGCAGTAGGTAAGATCTGTGAAAAATGGGTCTCTAACGGTCAAATGGGTGGAGTGCGAATGATTATTTTTACTAATTGAGCCCGCTCTCATTTCCACCCAGGTACACAAAGCTCCGCCCCCAAAGCTTACATTGTTTCAACTAGAGTTAGCATTAGCAAGGACCGTCATGTCATCACTTTCAAGCACACACGGACGTTCAGCTACTTGAAAGCTTTATAAATTTACAACTCTATAAATATGCAACTTCTACCCATAATGATTTAAGGCACATTGGAGGCGTGTCTATAAAATGGCTGACAAGAGGCCAATCCAAATGCGTACAAACGTTCGGGATCGGAAAGCAGTTTTAATAATACACATGTTCTGAGACAATGGCTTAAACTGTTATGTTTTTAATCATTTCTGCATTATTTTCCACATTATTTGTACTAGTAAGAAATGAAAAATATTGATTATTGCACTTTTACATAATTTGAAACCTTGTTTCACTGAGAATGTTCAGTACATCATGTGAAAATTCATTACGTTTAAGTTAAGAGATTTCTATGCCATAATGATGATAACATGAAATCCTGATAAAGATTAATAAAGTTTTTTTTTTTAATCACAAGCAGTGTTTTGGTCTGCCCTTGGATCAGCAGTGAATGTACTAAGTGTCACGGCTCTTTTCCTAACTTTTTTGTGAACAATTGCAAAGGGAGCAACATAAGTAAGAAGGTAAACAAAAAGAATTGATTACAGTTTGCAGTATTGTCAGGGGGCTCGGTGGTTAGTGGTTAGCATGGTTGCCTCACACCTCCGGGGTTGGGGGTTCGAACCCCGCCTCCGCCCTGTGTGCACAGAGCTTGCATCTTCTCCCCATGCAAGGTTTCCTCCGGGCACTCCGGTTTCCTCCCCCAGTCCAAAGACTGATTGGCATTTCCAAATTGTCAGTGGTGAGTGAATGTGTGTGCGGTTGTGCCCTGTGATGGGTTGGCACCCCGTCCAGTGTGTCCCCTTCCTTGTGGCCCCCAGTTCCCTGGGACAGGCTCCGTGATCCCATGTGACCCTGTGTAGGATCGGTGGTATGGAAGATGGATGGATGGATGGATGTAGTATTGTGAATAGTATAGCAGAAATGTCCAATAGATGGCGATATTCTCTGTGGTACTTACTCAGTGTGATGCCTGCAATAAAAACAGAGAAGAAGAGCAGAACAGCTCTTGCCTAGTGAAGTGGTACACATGCAAGTTCCTTTGTTTATTATTATTATTATTATCTGTAATAAGACATCCATATTAAGATCATAAAGACATATCTCATACTGTTGTATGTCTGAGAATACCACAGTGTTATTGTAATCATCATATCTTCTTCATTTGAGCAGGTGCCAGTATGAGAAGACAAGGAACTGCCTGTGTGGAAAGCAACAAAGCTGAGAGACAGCAGGTGGAAAAGCCGTGTACAGAGGAAACATGTGAAGCTGTAGCTGAGGAGGATGAATTCCCACGTCCCATCCCGTGGCAAAAGATTGAGGCGCAGGAGCTCGACTGTGACTACGGCTTCCTTTTCTCCAAAGAAGAAGCCAGCAGGCTTTTCGTGCAGCTAGAGGAAGAGGTGGAGTACTTTACAGGTACTGCTGGCACATGGCTTTGAAAGTCATATTTGTGTAATGCAGACATATTTAAGACCTTGGACTTGTCTAGTGGCAGTAAATAAAGCTGACGAATCTCCAGATTTATACCACAAGTCCACCTGTACTGTATTCAGTCCCAAAAATGAGAGATTTTCCCACAGCCTGCATAAAGAGGATGAGTTTCACTGCTCACTGGGGGGGTAAACTGGCATACAATTATTTTCTGGTAAAAATCTGATTTCAAATAAATATAATTAATGAATAATTTAATAAAATAAACAACATTTGAAATAAAAATGTCTAAAGTTTATATAAAATACAATGTGTCAGATCCTGTAGACTACTTATTGGTACGCTCCAATAAACATGCCTGGGGGGACTCTAGCTAATACACAACCATAAGTGTTTGTGCAGTGTGAAGTGTAAAGTGAACGTCAGCCTTCATTTGGTTGAGAACCAATTCAATTCAAATCAGTTCAGTTTTATCTGTAGAGCGCTTTTAACAATGCCCATTGTCACAAAGCAGCTTAACAGAAATAAATACATACAGGATATAAATTGTAAATGTATGAATTTCTCCCTAATGAGCAAGCCAGACGTGACGGTGGTGAGGAAAAACTCCCTGAGAGGACATGAGGAAGAAACCTTGAGAGGATCCAGACTCAAAAGGGAACCCATTCTCATTTGGGTGTAACAGATAGTGCGATTATAAATAAATCTCTTGTATGACTGTATACGACATGGACAAATAGTGCAATTGTGTAACCAGGAAACTGATTACAGTTTTCACATGAAGTCCGGTTTGTTGAATCTATCCCCTGTCCACTGACGGAGACTTGAGTGCAAAACTGTCGCAGCAATCGCAGGCCCAAGCCATCACAGTACAGCTCCCCATATGAGATCCCTAAGCCATCTCCACTGCCCCCAAGTGGCACCATCTCCAGCAATCCCACTGATCTTCAGGCCGTCCATGTGGGGCCACCACCAGCAGCAGCGAGTGATCTCAACTGATGAGAACTCCAACCAGCAGTAGGGCATCAGGTGAACACCAGAAGAGATGTAATGGAGAGAAAGCAAATGTCCCATAACGTACAGTACAGTTTATTTGATCAGGTTTACTGGGGATGTAAACAATTCTTCCATAAATTTAATTATATGATTTTGTTTCCCCCCCAAAATAATGGTTTAAAATGTAACTTGTGTTGACTAAGAAACTGCAGACCGCTTGAAAGTGGTAAATGTGAGGCAGACCTCGGCCATCACTCATCTGTCCTGGCAAAACCTGCTCTGAAAATAACCAACTTTGTCATTGAACAACACACCCAAATGTTTTATTTCTTAGATAAAAAAAAATAGAATTCGGCTATATTGAAGATTTTCATTTGTCTATTTCGTTCATTCATCTTCAATACTACTGATGTCTGTTAGTACGCAGTCAGAGTGACTGGGTTTCTGGAGCTCTCTTCAAGATGAAACCACAAATCCGCTTTAACTTCGTACGGAGATTTTCAAGTAACGTTAGCTGTAAAAACTTTAGACATATTGTTTACTTTTTTGTTAGTAATGTTGAGTGTTTTTGCCCACAAAACATTGTTGTTTTACTGTACATGATATCATTTTCCCGAACAAGAAGCGAAGGTGCAGGTGTATGGGAAGATGCACAGCGTTCCCCGGAAGCAGGCGACTTACGGGGATGAAGGACTGGTGTATTCTTTTTCTGGAGTTCATCTTGCAGCCAGAGCTTGGACGCCGACCCTAGAATATATCCGTGACGCCACCACCAACGCCACAGGGCACACCTTCAACTTTGTCCTGATAAACAGGTTATTGTTATCTGAAGACATTCCGGTTCTGACATTCCGAGATACAGTTTGCTTGGAATTCTTATTGTTTTTTTTTGGTTTTTTTAAAGAAAATGTCACGGATGTTCTGGCTCTCCACAGGTATAAAGACGGTGAGGATCACATCGGGGAACACCGGGACGATGAGCGGGAGTTGGACCCTTCGTGTCCCATTGCCTTGGTGTCTCTTGGAGCTGTGCGTGACTTCGTGTTCAGGCATAAAGATGCTCGCAGAGAGCCAAAAAAATGTCACATCGAGCCTGTGAAACTGGAACTGGCCCATGGGAGCCTTCTTCTCATGAACTCTCCCACTAACACGTACTGGTATCACAGCCTCCCAGTGCGGAAAAAGGTGAAGACGCCGCGCATCAGTCTTACCTTCAGACGCATTATTAAGGCTCGCCAGAAAAGGAAAAGGGAGTGACCTTTCTGTAAACATGAGTGATTTTCTGTAAATACGTTAGTGTCTGATTGAAGAGGTTGTCTTATATCTTACAAATTCATATATCTAAACAAATTCTAATATTTCTATCAAAGAGCATTTAATGGAAATTATTCCACATGCTGTGTAATTTCTTCTTCTTCTTCTTCTTCTTTTTTTAATCCAGTGCACTGCTGGGTATTGGTGTGGTCTGTTAATAGATTAGCCCCCATGTGTAAATGCTGTTTGCCTATAAGGCAGTTTGATGGTCTAGTGAACAAAGGAACAGATTCAAGGTTATTCAAAGGAAATTTATTTTTTATAAAACCAAAAACTACATGTGGAATAAATAAATGAAAACACAACCATACTTCTGTACAAGACATTTCTAAAGCAGAGTGAAAAATAATGGTCCCAATGAGTACATTTTTCGCTAAAAGGTTCAAAGATTGAACTACGAGAAGGCAATATTTTGGCGAAATATTGTGGCAAAAAAAAAAAAAAATCAAGTGTAATAACAAAAATGTTATCGTATAAATATATACATATTTTGCAAGCAGACACATCCGAGTGATTTTTTTTTTTTTTTTTTTTGTTGTTTCTCTAAAAGTCATACTTAGTGTTTATATGCCAGCACTGCTGGACTGAGTGTGAGGTATTTGCACAGCTGTCTATCCGTAACCTGCCTGTTAACGTCTAATGAAAATCGCTTTCTTTCCCCCTCCCTCCGGACAGCCACACAAGCCGAGTCTTGATGGCAGGCGCTTGCCAGAGAAAGATGAATACTCGATGAATCTGATGGGTTCGCGGTCAGAATTGTCATTATGCACTTTAAGGTTGTAGCGCTGTTGAAATGGTGACCTGCATTTCAAAGCTTTGTTTGCACCATCACTGCATTTTCGACTGCACTTTAGTGGAAATGAAGAGAGTTTTAGTGGGAGAAAATTGCAAAAATACTTCCGGGACGTGCATGAGACGTTTAAAAAAAAAAAAAAAAAAAAAAAAAAAAAAAAAAAAAAAAAAAAAAAAAAAAAAAAAAAAAAAAAAAAAAAAAAAAAAAAAAAAAAGACTAAACAAGCTTATTTCAGTATCACAAGGCGCACACAACCAAGCAGGACGTATGCTACGAGCTACAGTCTTCACAGCAGACTTTAATCTGTGACTAGTACCACTCACTCACGACCTTAATCGCCCATTTTACTAGCTATTCATGGACGTCAAAATAAAAAAAAACCAAAAAAAAACACCTCTTTGAACTACAGCAGCAGAACCGTTCGATTTCAGCGCAACTAACAGTGTGTTGACCCTCCTGAGCAAAAGAAAAAAAAAAAAAAAAAAGGATGAATAGATCGTTTGCTTTGAAACATCAAGTGGCAGTGGACAATGAGGACCAAATGAAAGGTGGTGATGTTATGACAGAGCGAGCTGTTCTAGGATCAGTGCAACGGAAACCCCTGCCTCTGAATCCCCCTCCCCTCCTGAAATGGAAAGCATAAGTGTGTGTCTTAGAGTGAATTGAAATTGATGAATAGGTACGTGTACAACTTGGTGTTCGGAGTTTAAAAAAAAAGAAAAAAGAAAAAAGACTCAAAAGCATACAGGGAGACGAAAGGGAGATCACTAGAGTGTAACAGTTGGCAAAGACGGTTAGTTGGCTTCTGAGGAGGAGTCCAATTTGCCTTTCTTGCTAGGAGGAGCACCATCATCCATATCCTGCTGAGGAAACAAACCCACCATCAGTACGTACGATTTTGATAGGATGTCAGGATCACAACCAGGTCAGAACAAACATTTATTGCTATAATACTACTTCCTCAGTGTTTATACTAAAAAAATAAAATGGAAAAAATAAAATTCTGTTTCAGTACAATCATAGAAGCGGTACTTTGTGTGTGTGTGTGTGTGTGTGTGTGTGTGTGTTACCTGAGCGGCTTTGGAGGTGTCTGTGAAGTGT